TGGGTTTTAAATAGAAAAATAACTATTTTTATAAATCTATAAATCGTTATAAAACAAATTCGTGATTTTTGCGACATATCGATTAAACAACTCGCAACACTAATACTATACAAAACAAGTAAACATTCTAAATGTCGGGCTTGAGAGATTCTAATCATGCTTATTGGGCCTTCGTGACCCATTAACATGACTTTTGGGCCTAACATAAATAATACATGTTATTGGGTCTCTTGTGACCCAATTACAATACATCATATAATCGTGCCTAGCATAGCATAACCTGGTGTGCCCTGTACGTTGGGTCCCACACCGTATCCATACCTTGCATGCCCGGTACGTTGGGTCCCACGCTTGCATGCCCTGTGCGTTGGGTCCCACGCCATGTCTAGTGTGCCCGGTCCGTTGGGTCCCACACTGGTGTGCCCGGTCCGTTGGGTCCCACACCTGTCTAGTGTCGCGTCCAACACTAGTTCGTGTACCTCCCCAGTGCGTCGGGCGATGTCATGACCCTTCGTCCCCGTATATAATATATATAATATAACATGAGTCAGCGTAGCGAATCTCAATCTCACGCGGGGAAGAAGAACGGACTAACGGGTACCACCTGATATCCAAATACACTATAAATATACCATCCATGAGGTTTGACCAACTGCCTAATGGTCAAAAAGTCAACGGTCAACGGTCCACGTCATCGGTCAACAAGACCAAGAATACCATACTGACAAGTCTTGGCGCCTATAGATTCCGAGCGATGGTTATCAATTCCATCCCATGCTTATGGTTGTTATTTTATGCTTATGCTTTGTAGTTTATGCTTACATGAAAGCGTATAGATTCCGAGCGATGGATAATGCATTAAACACAAACACGACACGATTAAACACGAGGATTACTTTTATATAAACTCTAAACTTAAAAACACATTAAACACAAGGACTACTTTTATATAAACTCCAAACTTAAAACATAAAATTCAAAAGACAATTTTGAACTCCACCAATGTCTTCATCACAATTACCAGCACTCACCACCACCACCACCTTTGCGTCCAACACCAAACTTAAAAACATAAAAACCATTCGATTATTTACAACACAAAGATAAAACACAAAGATAAATCGTCTTAAAATCACTAAGCAGGTCATTAATTGCGAGCCCACATGGAGTCTGAGATTTCGGTTTCTTGAGAATCGTTCCCCAGATACTTGCAAACCACGGGCACCCTATACTCCTTAGTTCCTCCCATAAAAGTGTGCAGACCGGATTTGCATTTGGTTACATATTCTTCGACTCTTCCAATCGCATCGAAGTCCAAATCACCAGAATATGCCAATTCAGCAAGAGCATCGCGTATTTCCGACTTCTTTACATGACCTGAAACGTATGATAGTATAGTCAAAAAATTTACCAGCATCCTTGATCTGCTATCAAGTCGCCGCCTGATATTATAAATTGACCCACAACTTTTTTTACCTGATCTTCTAGAGGAAGTGCTCCCTCTTGACTGCGAACTCCTCCCTGTTGAAGTGGATGGAGTACAACTATCAAAAATACAAGTCAATCGACCCCAATATTCTGGCGAAGGACCATCAACAGCATAAAGGCCGCTGGTCTTCTGTATGCATAACCAATGTTAAATCAAGAAAAAAAAAAAAAAGAGAGAGAGAGAGAGAGAGAGAGAGAGAGAGAGAGAGAGAGAGAGAGAGAGAGAGAGAGAGGGGGTTACTATCATTTTTAATATTACCTTCCTGTACTTGTACGCCAATTTGAGATCGTCGAAATAATGCTGACACGCAACGTCCATGCCTTCCTTCATTTCTAAGCCGCTTTTCTGACATAATTTATCAGCAAAGTGTGTCCAGAATAAATCAGTCTTAGCATTTCCCATGGTCCGGTCTTGACCATTGCAGACTTGTTCCAACAATTTCACATATGTTGTATTATGCTGACGCAATAAGTCAAGTAACTCATGATTCTTGTTAGACATCTACACGTAACCATAAAAATATATTGAAATTATCAAGATTGTACTCCTATAGTCCTACAGGCATAAAACATATATTGAAATCTATGAACTTAATGTAAAAAACCTGTACTCTTTGCTCTTTTTTTGTCGCTTACCCTGTAAAAAAGAAAAAATAAAATAATTTAACCAGGCCCGAGGTAACCCTTTGTCGCATAAATAATCAAGTAACTCATGGTTCTTGTTAGACATCTACACATAACCATAAAAATATATTGGAATTATCAAGATTGTACTCCTATAGTCCTACAGGCATAAAACATATATTGAAATCTATGAACTTAATGTAAAAAACCTGCACTTTTTGCTCTTTTTTTGTCGCTTACCCTGTAAAAAAGAAAAAATAAAATAATTTAACCAGGCCCTTTGAGAGGTAACCCTTTGTCGCATAAATAATCT